ACTAAAGAGCACCCCACCTAATCAAGGGAGAGGCCAGGACTGTTAATATTCAATAGATTTACAGATATCTTGTCATTGGGTCTAGATATTTTATATTCAATAGATTTACAGATATCTTGTCATTGGGTCTGCATATTTTAAATCAATTTTGTTTTATTTTACTTACCAACAGGTGCTCCAAAAGCTGCTGACACTCCTGCAGCAGCACCACCAGAAACAAAATCTCTTTTCTCATGATCTTCCCGAAAATACTGAAACATTTTGAAGTCTTTGTTGAAGGTTGTGGATCTTCCCTGTGAAACTCCTGCTGCGACTACAGCTCCAGAATGAATCATGGGACCTTCTTTACCACAGGCCAGGCCACCTGCCACTGAAAATACAACACCAACTGTTTTGCAGAACAAGGTCTAGGAAGAGAAAGCATTTGTTAATTGAAAAAAAGGCACGTGGACAGGTAATCATAAGACACAGGGTACCCAATCAATGATAGGAACAGAGGACAACTAATAATTAAATTAAAGAATTAACAAATTTAAGCAATTAACATACTCTATTTCAAAATTAATGACAACAATCCAAGAATATCTCTAATCTAATAATAATAATAAGTATTAACACTAAAATTATAATAATCATTATTGATGATACATGATCATAGCAGACTAAGCAAGCTAAGAGTCTAGAAGAATGCTGTAAAAGTCTGGAGCCTTGTCCAACTGAAAATTCTTCACTTTCAAATTACATGTATTGATTGACAGTATGAGAAAAAAAAGTTCTCTGACAAAAGAAGTAACACCAAAAGATCTTGAAATGATCACAATTCTTTACCTTTATTCTGACAACATGTGGTACCAACACCCCATTGAGGTAACATTTGATTTGTGGAATACCACTCCCTGCTGCCACAGGCTGAAAAAAGTATTTGTAATATCATAATCATATTTTCTTAGTGAACAGAGAGGTTATATTTATTTAAATTATTAATAAAAAATGTAATTTTAAATGAAGTCTATTACATAATATGCCAGGAGACCAAGCAATAAGAAAATAACCATCGTTTAACAAAAAAATATCTCTCCTGAAAACATACATTTAATGGCTGTTTCATTAATTTTTCACAACATAACTTCTATTCCAAAAGACCCCTGGTCAGTCTCTTGATTATCACTTCACAGTAAGAGATCATATCTATGTAATATCATCAATGTTTCAATTCTCCTTACTGGCAACCATACAATTCTTATAGTGTTAGTTCAGATAATTTAGTATTGGATCAATTAATTATCCTCAAATTGATATTTTTCTTTATTCTCATCACTTAATATCTAGTTGATATTGTATTGATATTGTAAGGAGAAATTCTGTGTTGGTCACTCATGGGAGTTAAAGGGTTAACTCAATAAAAAATCTAAAAAACCTCTGTAATATGATACTGCAAAATATCAGAAGATTTTAGCAATTACCTCTCCATAAACAACCAAGCAAGCTGCAATGCAAACCATAAGAGCATCTAGTACAACCCATAATGAGTAAGGAATGGCCATACAATTTCCGCTGGTGCATTGGCTAATATCTACCATAAAGTCAAGAATTGTTTAACACAGTTAAAATGGTAACATCTTGTGAACAGCAAAATTCAATAACAATCTAAAACTCCTTGAAAAATTTGAAAGTGACATATTACATAGTATGATTTTAATAATAGTCAGATTGCCAATGCTAACAACTTTTTCTGTCATAAAAAAAAAGGAATTACCACCAGTAACTGTCTAACTTTTTGTTATTCATTTCCATTTGAATCCACTTTTTTTGAGTGACTTTGGGTTTGTTTGTTTGAATATTTTGTTTGCTTTCAAAAAATAAATAGAGATCATTCCACGGAAAATGTTCACGAACAATTTTTTTTCAAGAGTTATGATATATAAAAAACAAACGAGTGAGTGCAGTAAATGAGTGAGTTTTTTAATGCATTGCAACAAGTGAATAAAAATCATTCAAGCACTTTCCATGGTATAATGTTTTTATTTTGTACCTAGTGCTAAGATTATTATACACTACCTACTGACTGACACATTTCAAAGATTGGAAGCCATTTATTACCTTCCCCTGTAAAGTATTATTTAATAATAATTGCTCTTGTTTCTGATTGGACAAACAATGTATTTTTACAGTCGTTTGTTCATTATATATGAAACAAAATATATTATAACATGTAAGTTGAAAGATTTTGCAAGCTTACAACTCACTAACTAGTTTTTTGTGTCAAGAAACCTGTCCAATAACTGGTAGATTTTGATTAAAATGTTTTCAGTTTCTGGCCAACCTTTCATAAGACAGATAATTTTATAAAAATAACAAGCAAAACTAAAACAAACCCATTTGATGCATGTAATAAAAAAGGATACAGTCTTTAATTATATTATATTTAAACCCTGCCAACATTATTATCAACACGTCTATAGCGAAAGCAATAACTGCAGTGACAAATCCAATGATAAACATAACGACCCATCTGTTAATGTTAACTCGAAGGCGTTCCTGAAGAAAATAATTTGATATTCCTTGTGACAAAATAATAGAAGAAAAATTTTTTAATATATTAACTAAAAATACACAAACAAATTTCTTGTAGACAACAGTAAACAATGCTAGATATTTGTGAAGCCATTACACAAAATATTAGAGATAGTGAGAGACTTAATAATAAGCACACATAAATATGTGAAGAAAATTAAAACAATTTGATATAGAATCAATAGCAATTGAGCCAAAAGAAATTAAAAAAAAAATTTTTTTATGAACATTAATTTACATAAATTTTATCTATTTTTCTTTATCAATTCAAACAACTTAATCCTTTCAATCCCAAGATCTCCTTATTAATTCTCCTTACTGTCTCCCATATAGTTTTTTTTAATCAAGGAACAATCCCCATACTGATTTTTTTTCTTCATTTTCATCACTTGTCTGCTTGATATTGTATTGAATTTTTAAAGTCTAAAGTCTGTCTTGGTCACTTATGGGAGTTTAAGGGTTAAGATGTCAAGAATGAAAACCTTTAGTTAGCCAGGATAGTATATTTGTACTCTAAAGAATACAGTATCCAGCCTTGATCCCTTTGGACATCAGAGTATAAGTTAAAGTTATAAAGGGGTAGGTTTCTAAAGAAACTGTGGTGTTGCGTCGGTGGGAGAGTATAGCAGGTAATTTAGAGTTAACAACTGATTTGAAAATGCAAATTAGCCACCGTAAAGGGTAAAAAAGCTGACATTTCGAGCGTTAGCCCTTTGTCAGAGCGATCGCTCTGATGAAGGGCTAACACTTGAAATGTCAGCTTTTTTACCCTTTGCAGTGGCTAATTTATGTTTTCAATTCAGTTGTAAACACCAAATTACCTACATAACTTAATGTTAGCCTTTGACATATCTTGCATCAAAAGTGGTCTAGTGATTGATGAATGACTCCTTGAGACACATCCTATCATTCAAGATGTAGTAACTGCTGCCTCTTTACTTACCTCTGGGGTATAGGACTTCTGCTCTCTGAAGTAAAGTGAATTTTCAGGAGTATCATAGTCCAAGCTCTGTTAAAAACCAAACAGTTTGATAGTTATGAATTTTGTTTTGCAGATAAAGGGTTGAAGGGTGGCTAGGTTAGGGGAGGATGAAACATAAAACAACAAACAGCCCAATAACTAGAAAGAGAGAGAGAAAAAATGTTTGCCAATCCATGGAAACAGATACACCAGGAGATTCAATAAATGCCAGTTACTGGCAGCCCACTGCCACTACTAGGACCTCTTACTATTATGTCTGTTAAATGTGAATTATTCCTAAAGTTATGAACCAGCCTAAATGTCTGCCTAATGTCTGTTCAATGTGAATTATTCCTTAAGTTATGAACCAGCCTAAACATGATTTGCCCCCTAAAATATAGGTGACCTCTGAATTTTTCCTTTCATTTCATGAAAACCTCACTGGAGAAAATTTTCCCAAAACTTCAAATGGTTCAAAAGACTTTTGGTGAATCTTATTCACTGATGCTGTAATTCAAGTTATTGTGAACAAGTTCAAGGTGAGCTGAACAGAGGATTTATTACCATTACGTTCTGAAGTTAACATCTGTCTTTTGTCTTTTTTGACAAGATATACATAAACATCTGATGCTGCACATGTGACCATGCATCAAACAAAAATGTGCAAATAGTAACCCTCAGTTAGTTTCATAAATTTACTCTCCCATAATGGTAAGATCTGCAGAATTTGAATTGCCTGCCAGTTCATAAAAATTTGCATTCGTCAGTGTCCTTTAAAAAATGAGATGTCCTGAATACAATTATAGTTACCGTTTCTATATAATGAGGTATAGGGGTTCAATTACCCAAATGATCATGTGAGGTTACATCACTTGATCGCCCAGTTCATAATTAATAATGGTTCCAAATACTACATACCTCGTACTTTGAAGATATTTTCTGAAGACTTCCTGGTTCTGCCGCGACACCATTTTTGGATAAACTCTGAAAGAGAAATAAGCTGACTGTTCAAATAGACGTTGATAAGATTGTCAGTAACGAGGTATACAATAATCGTACTGCGAGTTAGTTCTGATGAATGCCTCACCTCTCTAATCTCTCTCACTTCTCTGTACGAACTGTTGGGTTCTTCTGTGACATATCTTCGACGAGGAAGACTTGAACTTTGAATAAACGGCTACAGAATAGCAATGGTCTCTGGTTAAAACCTGAGTTTGTCAAATTGCGCATGAATATGCGTCACTTAATGTCTGGGAGTAGCGAGAAAAACTTACATCGTCCTGAGTAACGATCAGTGGGGTATTTTCGGTGTTCATTGTGCTCACGTTTTTCATTCGCTGTGACCTCTGCATGAGTGTAAAAGTGTTATTTCCCCCTGATTATCAGGTGTTCCACAGATGATCAAGTATTCCATAAGAACTTGCAGTTTACAAATGGGGCCCAGTGCTTTTCTGACTCATGCTACTTCCCATGATCCACTCCTGGATTTACAACATGGCGGCCAGAGTCACTATTGAGGCATTTAGACTGCTTACATCATCCAGAGCGTGTACTTATCGATTTTATGGCAGTCTCAGGTACGATCTCAAGCTGGAGCGTTCAAATTAATGCAAAAGAGTTTCATGACGTAATTGACATTTGTTTTTCTAGTTGCACGTGGTGTGTGTCCCTCCAAAGATGGCGGTTTTGTACGCGATATAATTCAACCTTAGCAGCTCCCTCGCCCGATGAATCGCCCAAGGAATATTCTGAAAAGATCACAAATATTGTGGATGAAATATCAAAACTTACACTCATAGAAGTTGCTGATTTGAATGAGCTGCTAAAGGTAAATCACTTTTCTAACAATTTTTAAATTGAATTTTTAGGGATGTTTGTAATTAATTTTGATTCTTATTAAAATAATTTTCGGCGATTGCCGAGAAATACAGATTTTCATAGATTTCCATTGAGAGTTTCCTATCGTTATTGTTGTAAGTATAAAAAATGATAAAAATCTTTAATTGGTACCCTTTAACTCTTTAACTCCCAATATGTGTTTGTTAATTCTCTCCTCTAGCTGCTACACATTTCCTTGTAAATTAGTTGCAAGAATTTGGTGTTAGATCAAGAAAACAAATTCTAACGGATACATTTGAATACTCTCATTACCAGTTTGCTAAATAGTGGACAGAGATTTTAGGGAGAAGTTACATGTGAATCACTTCTGGGAGTTAAAGGGTTAATTAAACTGGTTGAAGACTCGAGTTCTTTTGGAGATTTTTTGCTTACGACAAAGGCATGGTTTATCTCAAAATGATAAAATTAAAATAAGAGGCTGACTGTGTTCGTCTATGAGATAATCAAAGTTACATCACTCGTGAATCTCTGGCCATTAATAAATTTTGCCATCATTTTGGAGTTTAAGTTTCATTTAAAAAATAGTTAATTTATATGACTTGTTTACCCTCCACAAAATCAAAAGCATAAAGTTCAAGCAAATAGATTAAAGGGTAAACATTCAAATAGAACTTTAAAAGGTCATTATATACCCAGGCAACTGGCTAGCCTGTGTAGTAATCCTCTCTATTTCATTTCATCCAATCAGGATAAGCTCCAGTGGAGCAGGAGGGTTTTGTGGGAATGGGATGTGCTTGGGCTAAAATGAAACATTAAACACTGCTATGTAGGCTACTGACCCTGGGGACAAATCAGTTGAAGTTCACTTTTATTTGGTCTTTCAGAAAACACTCAAAATAGAGGGTGCTCCAATGATGCCAATGATGGGAGCTATGCCTGTTGCAGCTGCACCAGCCCAGGTGACTTCCCAAATCACATATGTCATTGTAATCTTAAATTATTGGGTAAACATTTCTGATTGAATCGGGGTTCTCTGGCCAAAAAAACCTTACCTCAGGGGTTTCCCACGGTGGAAGAAACCATTTTTATCCACAGAACTCTTTAGAATTGAAATACAGTATATTGTGTTTTGTATACTAAGTAATGTTATCCCTATTTTAATAAGTTTCATATTGTAATTATTTTCACATGACCCCACAAGCTTTGATCCTATCATGTTTAAATAAAGGATACATTATTACTTTAGTTTTTTACTGGGGCTTAACTCTTCAATTCCCATCAGTGACCAAGATAGAATTTCTCTCTACAATTTTGATGCAATATCAAGCTGAAAAGTGATGAGAATAAAGAAAAATATCAATCAGGGGATTATTAGTGGATCCAATACTAAATTCTCCAAACTAACATCATAAGATTTGTATAGCAGTCTGTAAGGAAAATTATCAATGAGCTCTTAGTATTGAAAGAGTTAAAATAATTTTCATTTGTTAGGAGGTAGATGCTGAACCGGAGAGACCTCCTCCAACAGAGTTCATCGTCAGGTTAACTCAGTTTGATGCTGCAAACAAAGTCAAGTTAATAAAGGAAATCAAGAATCTTGTACCAGGGCTTAACTTAGTTCAGGTGAATGGAAAGTCTCCATTATCAGTTACTTAAATATAAACACATGATTATAGATGGTAAGAGTAATATATAGATTTAGCCAAGCCTAAAAGTGGAGCTCGCATTTTTTTATTCCTGCACGTCTCAAGGGCACAACGCCTTGTCCCGGCCAGGACTAGAACCCAGGTTGTCCAACTTGGAGCCCTAGCTCTGACCACTGGACTACTGAACAAAGCCGTGGCATTGGCATGCCTGCGGTACAGTTGACCAGGCATGTTAAAAGTAGCACCTAGTACAGTCGTATGGTTATACAGTCGTACAGTCGTACGGTCGTACATCCAAATTTTTTCGGCTTGATGGGTTACTACTATTTTGTATAATTATGGGGCTAAACTCTGCGAGCTCCGCTATTAGGTATGCCTAAAGAAATGATAACTAATGGCAGTGTTTTCATGAAGCAGGTTGTCTTGCTTAACATTCCCAAGGGTGTTTTGTTCACAGACTCAGTAAAGCAACCTAAAAGTGATGGATGAAAAAAGTGAACCAATCTGATGTATGGTTAAAATTTCAGTAAAATTAAACCTTTCCTTTAGTCTTGACTTGTACTCAAGAATAAAACAGTGCTGAGGCAACAAATGTTTTGGTATGAAAACATTTTTCAAGGTTGTTATCAGGCCTAAACTGGAGAGTAACATGTTTTGAATTGTTTTCAAGACAGATAAAAATTTGTTGGTTTGATGTACGCCAAACTCCTTCAAAATGACATTTTGAAGTTATTGAAATTTTTGAGCATACAATATCACTCACTTGTCCCTAAGTTCACTCATAGATTTTTTGAAGATATTGCATAGTTTAAACCATAGAAACAGAGCTGTTTTAGTGCAATTACTTGAATGACTAAATAAATATTACTTGGAGCTTTTTGTGACAGTTTACAACCAACCCTTTACAGGTTTCCAGATTTAACCTTTAGTTGTCTCTGAGTTAATTTCAAGGGTCCTGGGAAACATCTCTACAATGATTATTTCATACTCTTGCAGAATTTGGTGTAATTTTTATCATCCTTTTCTTTTTAGGCCAAAAAATTTATTGATGAGCTACCAACAAATGTGAAAGAAAATGTGAGCAAAGAAGAGGCTGAAGAAGTAAAAAAGGCTTTGGAAGCTGCAGGAGGAACAGTGGAAATAGATTTTTGAAGCATTGTACAATTGGCCTGATTTGTTATTAAAATTCACTTTTCAGTAGAATTAACATTGCCCATTGCTCTCTCTCTCCCAACTGTTATGCTGATGTTGAAGCCAGAATACAAGATAATTAAAAGTATAAACATATTGCCATCACCTGCAACACAGCTCTTCTGTTTGTAGTTTTTCTCTCACAACTAAACATTCTAAAGAATCAAGATGGTCCACCTTAAGACCACAGGAGGGCTGTGTACAAATTAAAGCACAACACTTTTTGTTTTAGTATGTGAAAAACTTTACAGCTGTACATCTAAAAGCCAATTGTTACCCATATCATGGGATAGCAGTTAAATCTGAGGACAATGGGATGATGACCTGCACATCATAGCGCAACACTGTTTAGCCTTCAAGCATTGCACTGAAGGTAAAGCTGTGCACTTTTCAGCTTGAAGCTTTGTTATTTGGATAAAAGTTTTTTCCATGCTTTTAAATAGGGGAGCAAGTAACTAGAAGATGGACTGCTGATCCTCACTTCCATTGATTTGTCTTGTTTGGACAGTAAAATCATCAATTGTTATTTGTCGTGTTTCAAAGGTTAAATAAAATCATTTTTTACCTTACAGCTTCCTTCCTTTGCAGTTACTGCTACCATTGAAATACACAAGGTTTCAATTAGAGCTTGCAACCGGCAAAATTGCCTTTTATATGAAACTAAATTGCCTACTATTTTCTTTCAAATTAACGACATGAGACTAAAGATTGAACTTCTATTAGCCTCCAACTTTGTGGTTTTTGCTGTCTACTTTAAAACTTATTGAAACAGATGTATCTAAGAGAGAAGCTCGAACTTAAACAAGTTATTTGTCCCAATAAGTAGTTGTGACTCATTGGGTATGGGTATGAGCTTCTGTCTCAGAATGCTTGTTTTAGAAGAAAGACTGCTGTGATAACAGGTTTATAGTATTTCAACACACTATTTACTATAATCATTTTCATCATACACAGCACAACTCAGTTAATCTTGGTAACTTTACCAAAATCTTTACAAAACTGAAACTTCAATCTCCCAGTAACATAGTAGCTTGTTTTCATCTTGTACGGTTATTCTGGAAAAATTTATGGACAAATAATGTTTATGGCAATCTCTTTAGTAGTAGCGGTTTCGTTTGTGTGAAGGCGACTCCATAACAATGTCTGTTGAACATGCTGATCGTTTTCTTCCTTCCCTAACTTCAGTATCTCCAAAGTTTGTGTCAGAGTGGCTTCTGCGGCGAGGACTATGATAAGAATTCAGGCCCCCACCAGCAGAGAGGTAAGCAGCTGTATTAAGTTCAGGTCGAACGGTAAAGGTATCTAGAGGTGTCCCATAGTACTGTGCATCTGTGTCTAAAATATCAGAGTCCATTCCAGATGGCAGAACCATTGAATTTGATCCTAACGTTGTACTTGAAGTGTGTCTTGCCTCATGATTCCGTCTTGGAGGTGAACGGCCAGCCAAATATGACAACAACTCCTCACGAAGAATAATTCTCTTTTTCTTCTTAGCCCAAGAAAGGACATCTTTACTGCGCTTTTGATATCCAGACTGGAAGCCCAAGTCCAAGCCGCGCTTATAGGCATCAGCACCATCTGAAAAAGAAATATCAATTACACTTTTTATTACATTGTAACCTCCACAGAGGCACTCAAATATTTGCTGAAATGACTAACTTTCAGTTACTGACTACTTTTTTCTGACCAAGCTTCTCAAATTTGTTCACTACAAGGTAAAAAAGTATCACACACTTTCTTTTTTGTTACTTGCGATGAAAATTGATATTTCCAGTTATTTTTTTAATCTGAATTCCTCACTATTAAAAAATTAACCAATTCTCAATAAAGGAAAAAACATTTTTGACAAATTAAATATTTCTTTATACCCTATCAACCATAATTAAAAATCGCAATGCTCATTCAAAACATTTTCTGAAACAGAGATACTTTTCGCAACAAATAATTAGTGGAATGCTGCATGAAAACCTTTCACATCTAATAATCCTTAAGAAGAAAAGGAACGCTGTCATTTCCGATTGCATCGTCGCTTGACACAGCCATAAGACCGTTTCAATTGGTTTTCGACGTAGCATATAATTAGACGATTATTCATTCTCAAAGTCGTTTTCAAGAAGGATTACAATAATATCTGGAAATGCAATACTCTCAATATAAACAAAATTGACCAACTTTGCCAGATCTTCTTAAAACAAATCGGCCATAATTTCCATGCTATTTCTAAGCAATTCAAAACACATCTACTTTTCCTACCGTGAACCATGGCAAAAGAAAGTCAGATAACAAATTACGACATTTATTGCCGCACAAAGTCCAAATATCTAACGAATTCTCGTTGTATCCACTAAAACAATCAAATTTCAAAGCTTTCCAAACACTTATTCGCGCAAGATTTCTTAGAAGTAGTAGAGACAAACAATGAAGACCGTAAGTCCTTAAAAATGTACTCTCACTGCAATTCTAATTAACTTCAATTCTTGAAGGGGATCCGATGCAACTTTTGATAAATTGCGTAGCGGTAAAACCCAACTCTTGCGCTTCAAAATTGCGATTCTGTTTCAAAGCGTACGCACCAAATAGTCCTGTATAAAATACCTTTATAAAGAAGCGTTATAGTATTTGCAGTGTCTTGGAAAGGGCTCCATAAACGATCATAAGTTTGGCTCCGATTCTGTCGCTCTGCCATAGAGAGAACAATACAAGCAACATGTTAGATTTCGTCGTCGCCATAACCTGGATCTTAAGGGACTACACAACTCAAACGAATTTACCCCCAAAAGCCTAACCTTTATAAAGCTGGGCACAAGCCGTTGCTGCGTTCTGAAACAGATTCCTCAAACGCTGCAAGGCTTGTTCTTTTTCAATTGCTGATCTGTCGTCGACATCGGGTTGGGACTCGAGCTGCTCAATGCATTGTTTCTCCCAGTTTGTGAAGCCCCGGGACTCATTTCCTCCATCAAAGTCTTCTCTGTCTCTACCTTCCATTATTTAAAATAACAATATCGCTTTCAGATCTCAAAAAATCGACCAAAACGCACGAAAAACGTTACAATTCTAATCTCCACGTTCGTTTGGCCACCGCCATGTTTTCATCCAATGACGACTCTTAATAAGGAGTGGTCACAAAGCCATGAAATTTCTCGTTGAAAATGCGCGGATCATGCGCGCACGCGTTGTCAAACATTAAGGAAGTGCAATGGTGGTAGTAATCGACTCGACAAAGTCGCTAAAGATCAGCTGAATTTTGCCTCCACAAAAACTGACTAGCGAGGCGCAGATTCACCGCTTCTGCATAGGAAAATGTCGACTATGAGGTATTTAATAAATAGACTTTCCAAGGGAGCGATCTGTTGTATGCAAAGAAACATACCTTGTAAGTCTCCTGCTTTCGTAAGATCTGGAAATATCGTGTTCCGTGGAATCAGCACACAATCCAGAGGGAAATCTTCTCCTCACTCCACCCTCGCGATCTCTACAGCGTCCATGGATGGTGAAGCTGTGAAAATCAGATGGAAAGATGGAAGCATCGCAAAATTCCACCACATCTGGTTGAGGGATCATTGTCAGTGTGAACAATGTTACAACTCCGCTACTTTTCAGAAAGAATTTAACATCGTAGATGTACCCCTCGATATTAAACCAATAAACGTTTCCATTCCTGGAGAGAACTACTTAAGCGTTCAGTGGCCAGACAGCCATGAAACATGCTTTAATGCAGCATGGCTTAGACAACACTCCTACCACACAGAACAAGGTACATCAGGGTTGAAGAAACCAGACCAGATAGATGAACTGTTTTTGTGGAATAAAGACACTATTGAAACAAACGTTCCCAACCATTTTAATTTTACCAAAGTTGTCTCGAGTGATGACCAGCTTTTCACACTGTCTCAAAGCATCATAAAATATGGGTTTGCATTTGTAGAAAACACACCAACTAAAGTTGACGCTGTTGAAGAAATATCCAAGAAGTTGAGTGGCCATGCTATGGAAACACACTATGGAAAATTTTGGGAATTTTCCAATGAGGTTCTGGAGCATGCTGACACTGCTTACACAGCAAGTTACCTCCGAGGGCACACAGACAACACATACTTCTCCAATCCAGCTGGGCTTCAGATGCTGCATTGTGTGGGACATCAGGGAACAGGTGGAATGAACTCGTTAGTAGATGGATTCTTTGTGGCAGAGAAGCTGAAGAAAGATGACAGGGTTTCCTTTGATTTTCTAACCTCAACAACCATTCCTTTTCAATACAAGTCTGAGGAACTTCACTTGAAAGCCAAGGGACCAATCATAGAGCTTGACCCTTTCAATGGAACAATCTCTAGGATAAGATTCAACAACTACGACATGCAAACTCTGGACTGTTTGAATTATGAGGACGTTGCTCAATTTTACAAAGCTTTGAAAGCATTCACTGCACTTACCTGTGACCCTGAAAACCAGTTGTGGTTCAAACTCGTCCCAGGTTTGTTACTCATCATGGGTAACTGGAGAGTGCTTCATGGCAGGTCGTCATTTACTGGAAAGAGATCCATGCAAGGCTGTTATGTCAATGGTGATGACTTTTTTGGAAAGTACAGAGCTAGAGCTCTTGCTTTGAACAAAAATTGATTCTGGCAATGATGGGTAAACAAAATGTTGGCTTTAAGTAATTTCTAGGCTGGAATATGGAAAGAGCTAAGAAAAAATAGTTTGAAAAATTTCCTTTGAAAAGGATTGCTGATCTAAAATATTGTCTTCAAAAGTCATGTTAGTTGAACTCTTAAAAATTTCCTTTGAACAGGGTTGCTGATCTAAAATATTGTATCCAAAAGTCATGTTAGTTGAACTCTTAAAAGGCAGATACAAATTGTTCTCATTGGTTTTTAAATAATCTACTGATAGGATTAACCAGTGGAAAACTTTTTCACCAGAGAAGTGAGTTTTAATGTATACGTACAAGTAACTTTTTTAAAATGGCTATTAATTTGAAGCAGCTGATGAGACTAATTCCTGTGTCAAGAGGTTAATTTCCAACAATTGTTGGTATATTGACAGAAGTAAACTAATCTTTTGGTTTCTGTGTTGTATATATTTAAAAAAATTATTCACCTCAGTCTTGGTGTGATATTTGCCTTGCTGCTTTGCAGCTCAATAAGTATCCACCATTATTCACCTTCACTTTAGCAAATAATTGTTAATGACCTATTGGAAATGCAATATGCTAAGTGTGTTGTTACATATTGTTTTAAATGATTTCAGGTAAAATTGTTTTGAACAAGCTAATCTATGTTTGATTTCCTGTGTTTGACAACTTTAGAAAATTAACAATAATTTTGAGCTAAAATTTAGTTAAAACTAACAGGTAGGCATCAAAATGCTGACTCCTGAGGTGACTATTTTAGTAACGTGTATAAAGGTAGTAAGTTTCAAAGAAACTCTGGTGCTGGGTCAGTGGGAGAGTATGATAAGGTAATTCACAGTTATCAATCAAGTTGATAATGTAAATTGGCCACCGTAAAGAGTTTAAAGGCTGATGTTTCAAGTGTTCGCCCTTCGTGAGAGAACTCTTTTGCTTCTTGGCTCTGACAAGCCAATTTATGTTATCAAATCAGTTGATAACACTGAATTACCCTATTTTAGAAACAGTTGTTTGAGTTTAAAGACAGCCTCTTAGTTGGCTTTAATTTCAGAAAAATTAGGAAAGTGGAGAGTACTATCCAAAATTATTGACAGTGTGACTGAATGGGATTAAAAGTTTAAAAAGATGATAATTATATTAGTGCAAAAATTGATTTATTTTTTAACCGTTCATATGATGAAATGGTAAGATTTCTGCAAGATGTAATGAAAACTACAGACCACCACATGAAACCATGACAAAGAAAAACTCTTAGAAAGGTTTCTTTTTATTTATTGATGATACACATCTCAGCAAAGAGTATTGTTAATTTTTATGATGCTGATCCTGGAAACATACAGTCCATGCTCATTAATTGTTTCAAAACTGAAGCAATAAAGTACCATCCAACTGTCAGACATTGGTGTGAATTTATTTAATTATTTTCTGGAATCTAGCATATATTGCAGCAATATCTTTTAAGGCTAGAATTAGTAGTTATCATTAATAATTATCAGTATCTTTTACAGTGTTGTATCTAGAATTAATTTCTTGCAGTCTGATTTTCTCCCCACATCCTGAAATTAACCCATCTGTATGTGACTAAATGTTATGCCAAATTCAAGCTTTAGCTTGTCAGGAATGAACATGACTTACAGTCTTAGGGGCATATAGGGAAAGGAAGTGCCCTTGACATAGCTTTATTTGAGAGTGCATACTGTTAGAGGGAGGACCTGCCTAGTCACCTTAGCAACTTCCATGCCACTATAACAGTGTGTGAGAAAAACAAGCAAAGGGTGTGTTTGTTGAAAGTAGAGAACTTCATCCATGCATACAATGCTCTAATCGCTTAATTAATACGCTAGTTCTCTATAAGATGTTATGAACTCTCCCAACTGCAGCCTCACAAGTTCATAACTCCTTTCTCTAATATTAATTAATTATTTTATGATTTCACAAACTCTAGAACCATTCTAAGCAAAATTCAAACTTAATGTTAAATCTGCTAACGTCATTGTAGTCACAGAATTGACTTTTCTTAAAAATTACAATCATTTAGAAACTGACCATGAAAAACAATTATTTCCTTTACAAGTCTCAATATACATAAATTCTCTAAAACTTTCCCAATAATGTGCCAATATTCTTACACATAATTGTTTCATGAAATTTTATATTTCTGAGCTGAAATTAAAGAAAACTCTGCACTGGGCAGTCAATGTACTTTCATTAATTGCAATTCATTGCCTCTACTGAATGATTTAATGTTAAATTCTTTCTTTTAGTTAACAACTCGAAGACAACTTATTCAAAGATAAATTTCTCTTAACCCTTTACCTCCCAAGATCTGTTTGTAAACTCTCTGCTCAAGCTACTCCATATTTCATTGTCGATAGGCTGTGAGAATAAGGTGTTTGATTAAGATAACAACTTCTACCTGATAAGTTTGAGAATTCTCATTACCTGTTTGCTGGATAATGTATGGATATAGTGGGGAGAAGTTACATGTTAATCAATTCTGGGAGTTTAAGGGTTAAAGTGATACCACATTAGTCACTGTGACCTGGAACTGTCAACTTCAAGGTACCAATTAAAAGTCAGACTCATAATGAAATAATTAACAATGCCATCATCGTGTATCATTATGAGGAATTAGTTGATGATGTATTTTGCTTGGGAAGTTAACAATAATTCATGTTGGGTTTTTGGTCTGAAGGCTTGACAATGGCGAGGCAAAATAAATTTATCATTCTGTAATTCTTGAAAAATACAGGTACAAAAGTTACATGCCAAACAAAACAAAAATACAGAATAAATTGCTCACTGAAACCTTTCAATAAGATTAAATTTTTGAGTCACTCATTGGCCCTGGATGACTCAATGCTGCATTTCTTTTCCGTACAGCATCCAGAATTTTTCTTCTTGGCCCAAGAGGGAGGCCAATGTCTTTAAGGTCATCATCAGAACACAGAGATAAAGTACTTAAATCAATTCTTTCATTGATCAAAGATGTAGTGAACTGTTCCAAGTTCAGTGAAGCCATAAATGTGACAAGGGTTTTATTTCTTGTGTTTTCTGTTTCAATGTCCGACAGAGAGAATGCATCTTCAAACTCAATAGATTTCAAACTGCGAATGTCATTTAATGAGGAACTCAGCTGACTACTTGAGCTTAACTGACTGCTGAGGCTAGTTCGGCTTGTCACACTGCCATTCATCATCTTAGTTGGATTCTTTGGAACATAATGAACATGTGTTGTAACATTGCCTTTGTCGTCAAACTTTTTGACCACATGTCCAAAGGACAGGTCTGAGTAATCAAGTTCATAGGGATCCACAGAATCTGAAGCTAAACTCTGGTGTTGATTCTCAATTGCCTTTGACTCAAACTGATCCAAAAAAGAAGGTGTACTCTGAGAAAAGCTCCTGACAAGGCCGGCATCTTCTAATGACCTGCGATTAATAATTTGTGGCTCATCTTTTGAGCTGCGTAGTGAGCTGAATTTTGAGCGAAAGACTCCCATCATTCTACCTTTTTTAGAACCAAATTGAAAGGTCTCTGAAGAGTGGGACTTCATGCTTTTCTTGTCATTTGATTTCTCTTGCTCTGGAAAATGGCCAACATTGGTTAATTGTGAGAACTGCTTCTCAGCATTTTTGTGAGGGATAGACAATCCATTTCCAGTCCATGTATCTTTCTGGTCATCATTCATAGACTTACTTCTTACCCTAGTTTCCTTTGCAACTCTTCTTTCATAAGCATTATCTCGGCGTTGCACATCCTTATCGCGCTTTCTTATCCTTTTCATCATATCTTTTTTAGCTTGTCTCCTGTGCCTGTCTACTTCTTTCTTATTGCGCATCATGTGGATAGCAATAAGTCCATCCAAATGTCTCACACATTCCATACGCCCATGAAGGGCAGCTTCCTCTAATGGTGTCCGTCCCTCATTGTCCAGAGCCCAGATGTCTGCACCAAAGTTTGTTAGGAAACTCAAACAGTTGAGTTGTCCACAGCTGGCAGCCAGGTGCACAGCACTTGCCCCATCCTGGTTTGCTCTGTCAGGCTCTCCTCTGAAAATCAGGGTTCAATTTTATCAGTTAGCCAGAATAAAGGGCTCACCATCTTAGGTAAGGTATCCTAGGTTTATCCCACTTTTTTGTCTTGATGGGTGCTTTTAGCATTTCATGATCACCTTTCCTTCTGACTATCACCAATACCCATTTGTACATGGAGAGGGGCATCATGAAATTGAATGTTTTGCAAAAAGCCAGCCAGGGGGCAAACTTGAACCTACTTGTACCACATTATCATTATCGTTATTGTTATAGTTATCCTTATTATTATTATCATTATTATTATTGTTAATGTCATTTCCTGCCACTTAATTGAGAAGTATGGTTCTGATGGCAAGGCTGTCTTATTTTAAAAATGACCAGAAGTTGAGGTGGGCCAACAGGTCTCCACATTTTATTTCATTTATCTAGTATGTTTCAAAAATCATGGAAGACTGTAGCCTCTGTTTTAAACTATGATCTGTGTTGATCTCAGTGCTTCAAATTGTACTCAGGAGTGATACCAGTAGAACTGGTAACAAGAGAAAAATTTGGTAAAATGATGGTGGATACAAAATCTGATCGACAGGCAACTATTGCCTTGGGAACTTATCAACAAATAAAGCTTTTAAAATTTGAAGACAACAAAAAAAAAGTATGTACTCCTCATATGGGATAAAAATTTCCATGAAAACCAAAGATTTAGTTAGAAATAAACAATGGAAAACAGGAAGTCTTTACATTCCTTTCAAAATTGCTAAATTGGGATATATACAGTTTTGTGAGTAAAGTTAGAACTTGACCCAAAGAACTACACAAAGTTTAATTTGTCTCAATTTTTATCTGAAATGTGATTTACTCGTAACTCTTCGTTATTTAAACCAAATCCTATCACTTAATTTGAAATTTACTTGCGTGAAAAACAAATGAAAACTCTAAGAGAAAAATTCCAAAGTTTGGAGCATGGCATTTGAGTAACAAATTATTGAATTTACGGAAACGATGACAAACTCTAGCCATTGTTGTCAATAATGTTATCCTCAAAAATTTACACACGGATGAATCAAGTCGTTGTTCACTCGTTAAATCACCAAACTAAAGATCTCGCGGAGTGTTTTCACTCTTCATCTAATGACTTCGCACATTTACTTTCCTAAACATGCACACAATTAGATTTTAAAAATTAACAGAAAAGAAAATATTGCGTGAATGGACACGGATAGAAAATCTTTGTCTGATATTCTTCTAGTGCTTTTTAATTTGCCTGCACACAGAAACTGCAAATCAGTAGCAGAAGCGTAACTCGATGAGATTTAAATGATTGCAACTTTTCATATTTTGCATGTATTTTGGTACAAATATTATAAACAACACCGCAAATTTCACAAGCTTCCATTCGGCAGGTGCTAAGCTTAAGCTCTTAATTTTCCCTTGATCCCAAATTCTTTGAACAAAAAAAATTATCACGGTCAAAGAAACCCCATTCCGTCTTTTGTGCTAGTGTTACAATATTTCGTTAAGTGAATCGTTTCCGAAAATTAGGAACGCCTAATTTAGTTAGACCTACCCCTTTCCGACCAGCAATCTAAGGGCTTCGACATTTCCACAACTAGCTGCATAGTGTACTGGAGTCATTCCGTCTTCGTCCCTTCGGTTCGCATCTCGTTTCGTGGCCGTTTTCAGGAGTTCGAAAACTCCATCACGGGCGGCTTTATGGTACAAATCACCCATGACTTCAATCGATCACCACGAGGAGCGAACGTTTCATCGCATGTTCCCGCGCGTTTCGGTAATATGAGACCGCAGGGAAAATATCAGTTTACGCAAATGACCATCTGTAAGTTTGAGGACTGCGTTTTGTAGGAAACCGCACAGAACGAATATCAGTTATCGCCAAAGTGTTTTTATCGACTCCCCTGCTGGCTGGAGGTAAAATCCAATTAATCCCCTAATGCTTTGTGGGCTTAGGACTTGGAATGAAGATAAAGGGAATAGGAATGAAGAATGAAAATTTCCTCTTTTCAAATGTCTTTTTTTCCCTTTTTGATAAATCGGTTTGGTTTTTAATGTCTTGCTAGAATTACTATTGTTTCCTTTCTACTCGTTTCACTTATTCACTCTGTCACAGGTCCAAGATTGTCCACTTATGTAAAATGGATTGCAAAATATTTTAATTTACTAATCCATGCTTCTGAGTCTTATATGCGGCAGGAAAATAAGCGTATCGAGTGTCATACGAAACACCTCCTTGATACTCATGGATTCGGGAAACGCCTAATTATCATAAAGAAAAACAAACATTTCCAATTCGAAATTATTCATGGAAGATTTTGTCAGAATTTTCGCCAACTTTGACTAACTTGGCCGTTCTGCCTACACCCATTAACTTAAATGAAAGAAAAACAGTGTATGTCCCCTGCCGCCATTAACCTGATGTAAATTTAAAACAATGGACCTGCCAAGGCCACAGGGCACTCGTAAACCTATTCTTGAACCTAGCTGGTCCATGCTATTACGTTTTTAGGGGAATACTACATTGATAACGACGCCTCACATTGTATAGGCATAGCATTAGATGGTCCTTGTCGTCCACCTTAACAGCAGACATGCCTTAATAAGGGTGATCTTCATTAAACCTTCCTAGGCGTACTGCCTCTTTAACCTGAAGCCTCTTATAAGTATTCAGAAAAACATGTACGTTATTGATGACTGCAGCTGTTAGAATTGATATCGTCAGGATTTAATTTGTATTTGATGTCAAAAGTTGTAACCTAAGGTGGTATAACGCGATAAGATCTCTAATTTGCAGTTCCTAGCGAGGCGCTTGCGAACTTCTGGATCTCAACTCTCATTAGTAATAAATTGACTGGTAGACGTCTCTAAATACACATCAAATATTTAAATGGCTCTTTAATACGTACGATTAATAACAAATGAGAGAAAATAGCAGTGTATTTTTTTTTAGCTGAAAGAATAATTTTAAGATATTATTTTTGTAGTTTGCGAATTTTTTTAAATTCCTTTTCCGATGTTAACAAAGTTGCAATTAAAGTGAAGTGGCCGTAAAGAACAGTGTAAGAAAAGAAAAAAGAAAAGAAAATATTAACTGATCAACACAGCTAAGATACGTTCAAGGAATTGCGTATCAGTTTTCATATGCAAAGTTGTTTTTCTACATTTAAATTAACTTCAAGTTCACAGAGCAAATTTCCAAATTGTGGGGGCTGGTACTGTTGTTATGTCTCCGGTAGCCTTTCTTGTATTGACAAAAAGCAATCGGTAGTGAAAGATGTCGTGTGCTGTTTATAGTCAGTGTAGCTGGGTGGTCTTGGTTCTTTTGGTGTGATTGCCAACTTGCATATCTAATATCTCGGCCAGTTCGCTCGCTGTTAGCGAAGATTGTGTACCTCCCTCAACAATTACAACCTTCGTTACGAGATCTGTGGGAAGAAGAGTTCGCCTCTTCGCCTTCGCTGCAGCATTTTCCTTCGGGTAACTGATGATATACTCTTTGGTCACCTGAACTTGTTTCTGCATCATGGGACTGCTGCCAGGAGAAAATCCGTTTCCACCAAGAAAAATTGCGGATTCTCTTGATTGGATGAACACTGACTTCCAAGTCCCCTAACAATTTAGGATCCGTAGGGCGTTTCAAGACAAAAAGTGGCGACCTTCACCTCAACTCGTGCATTATTTGATGGGACACGGGGGGCGTAATTTAACTGATCTGATTGGCTAACGACCAAATGGCACCTGTTACTTCACGTTGTGATATCATACGGGCCGTTCCCATGGTTTTCATTTTCAAATCATTTCCTACTGGTGTTTTCGACATAATATACATCGGTAATGAACCAAATTCGTGGTTTCAGCCCATCCCCAACAAAACAACAATCAGCTGGCTTATAGAAAGCTGACTACAATAAATCATCGAGAATAGAAACCAAAACAAACATAACTTCAATAAATCGTCGTGTTATCGACTTAACTTTCCTTTCATCGAAAACATTTTTACGGTACACAGAAAGTTAAATGGATCTGTTTAATCAATGAATTTGAAGAATCAAATAGATGCATATATCGTATAACTTTATAACTTAAAAATCACTTTTGACACTTCCACCCAAAACACTCACTCGCACAAGAACGCATAAAATCTTTGTCTTCTACAAAAAAATTTCTATGCAATGTAATAGCTTTGAAAACCTTACTACCTTCTTATCCTCAAAGGAACACTGTTCTTGCGAACAAACTTGACGACTGCGAGAAAATTTTCTTTCGTTAAACAAGGAAAATCAGAACAAACACATCAAAAAGAGTACAAGAAATCCTACAAGAACTTCTTCGTTTAAAAAGTGTCCGCATCAGATCTACTGCTGAATACAGCGGTTTTGGGCATAAAAAGTGAAGAAAGCGAAGACCGTCTAAGAAAGAGATTTGACGGAGACTCTATTCGTTGTGTACAGTCAGCGGTGGATACTCAGTCTCATCGTCCAATCTTAGGTTTCCAGGCCCTTGCAGGTCACCAAAGGCCGTCATGGCTTGGGTGGGGTCACATACACCTGTTGTTGGAGAATTCTGACTGTTTTGTGATGATGCTCGAACTCTCGTATCTTGAGATTCTTCTTCTTTGTTCGTTGGAGATGGGTTAAGTTCGGCGGAAGTGCTTTCCTCTTCCTATTCAAAACAACACAAAACCATTTTACAGAAGAATAATTAGCTATGAGCTTATATTTTTACAAAAATCTTCGATAAAATAAAGATTTTTTAACTCAGATACCATTAAATTACGTGATGCTTTCTTACTATTATGTCTAATGAAAAAAACTGAGAAGTGTTACGAATAAAAATAGAATAAACATAATTTTAATTTTGTTCTTTTCACAGACGAACTTTTTTCCACTGCTGTCTAAGCTTGGACTCCTACGTATGAACGAAGTGCTTTAGTGTTCAGCTTTGATAAAGAAAAACAACAACAAAGAAAGAAACACGAAAAACAACAACTTAGTGCGTCACTCTCTTAGGAGATACTTACCGATGGTTTTTCAAGGCCTTCAGTTTGACCAATTAACCTACAAAACAACGACACAAAGGAACCATTTAAAAGAAGGTTAAAGTGAATTCTCTTCATGGCAATCGTCTTAAAAGCATTATTATAAGTTAAAAGGTTCAATACTGCATGTAACCTGCTAACGAGGACGAGGATTCTTCCAGTCTCGTCTGCAGTTAACGACTAGGAACATTTTTTCCTTCCTGTATAGAATGCTAGTCAGTCCATTGCAAATGACAGCCTCTTGTTAGTCTTGTTATGCTTATGGGTGGAGAGAGAGAGACTAGGCGAGAGTGTTCGTGTCACCAGCACCCAGGCCATGAATCAATCCCACACCTCTTTATGCAAAGCCCGAAGCGCCATTTTTAAACCAAGATCAACAGCAGGTTCAAGCTTTCATGAGACAAGTAGAACTCGAGAACCTACTAACACCCACCAGCACGATAGGACACCATACTTCATTTTATTCCATCATAACCCAACAACTATGGCAAGTGCTATCACTTGATAAACAAATTGTGTAGTTCACCTATGTTGTTTGAGCAGCGTACAGTCCCCTCCCTCCTCAGGGTCGATATTGTAGATGTAAAGATAACCGTCCGCACTGGACACCAACAAGCGTGGAAGCTTGCCAATCCTGTGGGGGATAGGGAGAAGTACGTTTGCTACTACACAGGATAAGTGAGCGTTTTCCTGGTATCTAATTCTTCAAACGTTTTATTCAGAAAAAAACAATTTCATAAACAAATGGGATTTATTTGAAACACTTACATTGCTATGGCGCAAACGTTTCTAAGACCTGATTTGAGAAAAAGAAAGAACTTAATTAACTCCAAAAATTACTCAACGAAGAAGAATGAACACAAACTTAACATTCACAACCCTCGATTGGCTTCGGAGACGTCTATCAGGTAGCCAGGAGCAAAATAACTTTACTTTCCCAGATGTAATATGAGAAGTATAATATTTCTGCAAAGGATCCTCAACAGACAGCGCCGGGGCCATAGGGAAAGTAAGAGATAGCCCGCGAAAAGTTGGTTATCAGCCATGCAGTGCCGCTATGGGTCGTCCTCCCCTAACAGAAGTACTCTTGGACCGAGTACGGAACATGGAGTCATTTCATTTAGAAATAGAGGGATACCGTATGTACCTTTTTTCGGATTGGGCATCAGTTACGAAGAATGCATTATAATAGGAATGAAGTTCAAGTTATATTTGATGTGGAGTCTACCACAGTGTGTTAATTCTGTGTTGTTGTTGTTGTTTTTTTTTTTACTTCCATACCTGCTTGTGGTAATCGAACACTGGCAAAAGCTCTCTCTTGGTTGAACACTTCTGCGACCTGTATAATGTGAAAGTTAGCGAACTTGCAACAAACATCATTTTGCTCGTTTTAATTGAGAGGTTGCGTCAACATATGCTTAAATCACTTCTGACCACTGCCTTCAGTCTCTCACTCCATACCCGTTACACACATTCTACCGCATGATCAAGTTGTCCAAAACTTTACCATCTCGCATACTCACATGCACTGGGAGATAGCTGCTGGGGGAGAGCGCTTTTCCAAAGTAACCCATCAAACCGCTTGCCTCGTCCGGAGGCCTGAAGTCAAATTATACAAAGAGACAAAAATGCAATGTAGTTAGTGTGCTAGCTTATATTAAAAGTCCTTCCGCGAAAAAGGACGATTTTTAATCGCGCTTGTTTTAAGTTTCACTACTAAAATATCTTTTTAAAAATATCCGTCAGCTTTCTTGGAATCTTAACACGGCGGGATCTTAATTTCGTGAGAGGGGGAAAGGTTCAAAGTAATAGTGTGGACATACTGGGAGTTGCAGTCAGCAGGGTAAACTCAGTCCAGGTAAACGTTCTAATCGGCAGCAATGGACAAGGGGTAACAATAAACCTTTACCCATTAAATAAGGCAGTACACACGCTAGAGAGATTCAACATGCTATTTTTTTTTCTCTTAACACAAACGGATTACTTACTCTTTCTTCGGAGCTTCTAGCTTGAAAATGTGTACTGTCTCTGTATTACTTGACGCACACAAGAACAGCGAGTCATGGCTAAAGGCGAGCGAGTTGATAGTTACACACCTGGAAAGAAAACACACGGAAGTATGTTAGCACAGCCTGACACCTTTATTGCCCATAAAATATGAAATAAATCCAAGAGTTTATGGCTTTTACCTCTTCACTCCTCGTCTGAATTCATAAAGTTTTATTCCATCAGGAATTGCAAACACTCGGATAACTGTTCCCTAAAGAGAAAGAAGTTAATCACAACTAAATATCTATCTAAATTAACTGATAGTCATTAACCACAAGTATTGACTCTGATCATGTTTCCTTGTTGATGTATTTATAAAATTTAGATTCATGACAATTCTTCTCTACTGCAATTAGAACAAAGTTCTTTGGGGATGGACTCAGCAGAAATGTTCCATCTAGATTATGAGCCGTCCCTCCTTTCTGGCAAAGTCTGTCGTTTGAGAAAAAAACATCGGCGAAAAAAAAAATTGCTGTTAGCGCACAGCAGGGATCTCTGGCCACAAAGGAGAGAATGCTCGTAGTCTCTGTTTCATCTAAGGGTGACATCTTTTCCAGGCAAGAGCTTCCTATTAAAGTAATCGTTATTGAAGTATTACCTGAAGTTTTACCCATTAAATAAGCCCACCTTTTCTGATGCTGTTGATAGTTTGGTCCCAGCAGAGTTGAATGCCATAGCAGCTACAGGAGAGTCATGGGCAGGAACCATTGTTACTGCCCGCTGTAAAATAATGTAATTAAAACATGGTCAAAGGTCAAATGGGGGTAAGTTTCTAGAGAAGCTGTCACAGTTGGGCTGCATTGGTGGGTTGTATTGAAAAAAATTTGGTTTTATCAGCTGAGTTGGTAATGTACCTTGGTCACTGTAAAGAGTTTCTTAAGCTGACAGTATGAGTCAGAGCCCCACTGACAATCAATTAAAAGTAATGTATATTATACATAATCCCAAGCCTTTTGATTGACATTACATTCAGGTTGTTCTGTGCCACAAGGGTGTGAGATATAAAGCCTAGCGGCACACTACTGCCTGGACTGTATGGTCTTTCACTCTATAATAGTATCAAATGACTTAAGGTTATGTCAGTTTTGTTATTTATCTTGATTATTTCTTACCAAATTTACACAGTCAAATATCTGGACCTCACCAATCTACAACATAAGCAAAATTTATTACATTTTTAATTATAATTTGAACGCACTAGATAATACACAAAGTTAAATACTACATTTAGATGTGAGTGCAATTGTTTTTCATCACTATGGAGCATGTGTTCAGAGGCTTGAATAAAAGCCAGTTAATGGCAGTCTACTGCTCCCTTTCAGACATGTTATGTTGTCTGTTTTGCTTGCAAATGGACTCTCTTGTTTGCCTTTCACCTTACAGCCCCTTTTTTTGGGCACAACTACCAATTATACTATGGGCAGCTGACTATGGCAAAAGTTATTGATAGCGAAGGTCATATTCAGCATACCTGATTGCTTCCAGGATAGGCAAGGTAACAATTATCAGAGTTTACAGAGAGGGCACATAGACCTAAGAAAATAGAGATTTGAGAAAGATTCCTTTAGTTGTAAGATTCAGTCTGTGAGCCACCAAATGAAAGAAAAATGTCAGAACAGTAGTACAATTGCAATACTGCAAACTTATTTCCAAAATTGCCCAGCTCATAAATGAATTTTAAGACATTGTTCTACAAACCTGATGGATTAGGAGGTGTATCTCTTATTGTGTGTAGAACCTATGGATGATGAAGAGGCACGGTCAGAAGAAAGTTTTTTCATCTTTATAGTAAGGTTTAGGGGTGACTTTGGCTTTCTGACATGGATGTTTATAAATACCTCTAACTAACCAAGTTTGAGGACAGTAATAGTTTTCTCACTTAGATTTATGGCCCAAGTGCAAGGCGTGCAGGCCATAAATTCAAATGAGAAAAAAAGAAGGTTCTGTAACTCATAGTATGGACCAAGGAAAACAAGGTTAGTTAGATATTTATTACTCCTCTAGCTTCAAATATAGTGGAAATATTTCATTTCGTACCAACTTTTGAATTTAGTGAGCCGTACAGTGAAATACGGTCCGCTAACTTGACTAATCATAGCACACACACTGAGATACATAATAAGAACTATATTATTCATTTCACAGTAACAAGGTTAACATGTTAAGAAACAATACCCCTCTCAAACCTAGAAATACAACCATACCAGTGCTACCAACCATCTTCATACAATTTCATTACACTCTCTGTTAAGTCTTCTGTTTTTTAGCTTACCTTCATGTCTCTAATATTGTGAATATATAAACTTTCTTCTAACACCACAAGCAGTCGCTAAAATGTAAAGGAAAAAAGATATTAAAAAAAAAGAAAAAACAAGCTATCCAGTACAACATCAAAAAGAGGTTTTATTCCATGGAATTGGTAGGTCTCTAGTGCAAAAAAACTGTGAGCATGTCTTGAATACCCATAACAGGGCAGACAATTTTTTCCATTACACTCTAGAATAGAGTTTTGCAGTTATAAAATTTAAGACAAGATCAGTATCCAGCAGACTCCTAAAAAGAAGATTACAAGAATGGTAAGAAAGATTCCATAAAAAGTTATCGCATGACTGAACTACCATCATACTATCAACTCACCACTCTGTTTAGCCTGACTGCTAAGATTGTGTTGGGATAACTGTAGTTGCATATTTCTGTTCCTTTCTATAAAAAGATAGCAAGGAAGTGTCAGTATTCAATATAGACCATGAATTAAAGCCTGCAGTGACTAATCAAAACTAAACATATTACTATTAATAATCAAAGGTTAACATAGCCTTTATTGATTCTTTTGTATTGTGTATGTTCTGTAAGTGTTCGCTAAATAAGTCTCATTCTTACCTTAAAATGACAGACTTTAAGTTTTCTAGGAGCAGATAAACTGACAATGGCTACAAGACTACTGGAGAATAGTCTTTCTACTATGCAAATGTCTTCTGTCTCAGCTAGAAATCAAAGAGAAAAGGTTTACCTTGTTATTCAACAGATGGTACCATCCTAAAGAAAGCTGCTGCACGTGACCATTGATAAATTATCAGAAAACTTTCTGGAGCAAAATAATTCATCTGTGGATATTATGTCAGCTTACTAGCTCTTTTTGGTTACAAAATAAATTATACCCTACTGTGGGTGACAAGGATTCATGGTTTGCCTGACTTCAAAGATTGGCAAAAGCATAATTACCAATACCTCACTATTGCAAGCATGCTAACAGGAGCTTATTATGACCATCACTTTCCCATTAAGGACCCTTTTACTTGCTGTTTATGTCTTGTGTTCTATTGTATTATTGCTGGAGGCTCACAATGTGATGTCACACTCCAAGAGGGCATGACATAATTTTTAACAATATCAACTGAACAATGAGGAAAAAGGTATGTAAGAATTTTTGTTTCATTAAATACTGTCCTCCTAGCAGCCTCAGAATTCAATATGTTTGCAATTTCTTTTAAAGCTGCAGCTTGCTAAATCAATGATATGAAAACCAACCCAAATATGGGGAAATGCCCACACACTTTTAGAGATTGATGCTTTCAGGGTTAATTCTGTACACTTAAACTTTGACATCAGAGGTCATGTATAAAATCCAATTAATTCAACGGGATGGCGTTTGGTCGTCTAACTGTGCACTCGTTTCCTTCTTGCCATGGGAATAACAACAATGTAGTTTAATTTTTATCGAAATCTACCAAAGCTTTTCATCGATATATAGCTTGTAGTGGTTAGATCCTAACAATTTTTATTTTCGGGTCATTCGCGAAGATTAGAGTGACCTTCCATTGAAAATGGGAAAGGATAGCCTTAAGAATTGTCCAAAAGAGAGAGACATAAGAAATAACTGAGAGGTTAAGCAAAATTTGTGAACAAAGGAGAGATATGGGTAAAATCAGCTGATTGAATGTACGTGACTGTCTTGGAAGGTTTTAATGATTTTATTGCATCTCACGCAATCAAATCCTTTCGGAAGACACCGCTTCACAATTAGACTTAGAGACGCTCTTAATCACTGATATCACAGAAAGGTTTAAAACTAATTGTGGATAATGATAAGAAATCCGCCACAAAAATATTATGGGAAAATGACGACATTGCTAACATTTACCTTAAACTCAACCTCGCATATCACTAACAGTTTACCCACCATAATCGTATATCTCCTCCAACTTTTCCACAGAATTTAAAGAGAACAATTTGTATCCGGCCTTTGAGCCAACTGCCAGAGAACTACGTAAGGAAAAGATGCCAAAGATCGACAATCAAATTATTACGAAAAATCGTTGTACAGTTTTGGAAACGGAGCCTTTTGGCGTCAAGTTCCAGGCTTATTTACCTACAGTCCTGATTAAAATTGACGCAGAGTAAGTTTCCTGTTGGATCCCCGCCATAAGCAGCAAGATTCATCAGTAATACTGAAGAATTTCACTCCAGTTTTCTTGCTTTCTGTAGAAGTGGCAAGTCGAATTCATAAATTTTATCAACAATAACAAAACACGCTAATGACATGCGCACGGCTGATTCAGCGATTCCCTTCCTACCCACAATGCAATATAATGCAAGTGACTTGTTGCTGTTGGTGTTTTTACGTCCTTTTTTTGTCTCTTTTTCGTTAAAAGAAAAGGCCAAAAAATACAATGGAACAATGTACGGTGTAGGAGAGGAATTTTCTGTTCCCACCCCTGCTTTTCATACCAAAACAAAACGTTAGACCCCAAGCAGCTTCGACGCCATAGGCAAGTAAAGTCGGCTGACGCAACCTCACGAAGAGTGGAAACTGGGGCGAACTGAAATTATCTCTACTTTCTTATTCAAGTTTATTTCTCGCCTAACTTTCGTGCAACAAGAGTCAAGAACCCTCTGGGAGACGGCAGGGCCATTTCTCCTTTCATGCCACTACGCAACGACAATTGACACTGTCAAAGTCAAAACACTCCTTTCCCCTCTAGAAAAAAAAGGGCATAAACAAGGGGCTTTAATTAGCCGGCCAAAGCACCCATGTACCCTCTGCTGGGGAGCGTCTCCTAGGACGGCAATGTACAAGCTACTTTTGGGCGCAGGTGCGACGATCACGGAAGACGGTGAGAGGATTCATAGAAAAAAGGATCGATGATAATTCTACCCTTGGTCGAAATCCTTGTCATTCAACTTGGTTGCCAAGTTTCATGATTTACGATTGTCGCGTCGAAACTGACGTCCGTAGGCTCTCTGTGGGATTAACCCTACCCATACACACGAGGCGGCTTACTTTCTCCTGTTTTCGTCCATAGCAGACCAAAATTTTATTGAGAAGGATTTGTTTTTCGTCTTGTTACGAGCTTAGAAGAAAGGAAAACAAATTGAGTGCCTGTGAAAAAAATCGACCCTCAGTCCCCCAGCCTCTCTGCTCCCATGCTCTACCACTGAATCAGAGATTCTATGGTGCGCTGTACCAGAACCATCTTCATATCTAACACACGTTAAGCATACCATCAAGATCAGTCTGCAATGTCGAAACGTCATGTGCGTAAATAGAATAAAAAGATAATATATATCTAGTTTGGTTGTGGAACAAAGAGATGTTCTTTTTCGCCTTGACACGGGCGTGCCAAAGGGAGACTAAGATGACAAACATTGATTAAATAACATTTATTCAATTTTTTTTTCAATTAGAAGAGAAAAATAAAACACTGTAGAAATATACATCGCAACTGGGAAATTTTCAGAACAGATAAGCAGACGAAGTCGTTTTTTGTGACATAGACATTTACCTCACTGAGTGCTCGTTATTAATTGATACCCTACGAGTGTATTTCAACGATTTACACCTCAAACACAGAATCACGCTCGTTGCGTTAACAAACCTCTCATTTCTTACATTTAGAATAGCACAGTTTTAAAATACCTCTAGCGCAATTCGATTAAGCGTCGCACAACCAAAGCAATCAACATCGGCCAATCAGAGGCAAGGAAAATTCCATAAGAAGGCAATGTGAACTTCAAGCAAATGCACGCAATTGGTCTCAAGCGCAAGACAGCTCGCGTAACAGTGAACACAGCAGTCAAACGTCAGGCAAGCGCGAGGGTATTAATCCTGATAGGCCGCGCATCAATTTCCAGCGAACAATATCATCAAAGGGGAACATAAGAGATAGAAATCCTTAAAGGGGAAAAAAATTAGGGAAAAGGATAACCTAAGGACGGGTATCTTGTAAATTTACCATTCAGTTTGAGCTTTGCAATAAAAGTTGAATGATTTAAACAACATGACTTACTGGTTAGTGTGTGTGTGTATGTGTGTTTTCTTTTTATGTAACTCGTGTGAGACAACTTGGTTTTCACAGCGATCTTACATGCACCGACGTTTTACCGCTGTGTTATAATAGTGTCTGGAATGATATAAGTTTCACATTCTATCCATTAGTGGCAAATATTGTGGCGCTAATTTTCTCGACCAATCACATAGCGCAATGAAATCAATACAATGCAACCCCGGTTCACTTTCGATAGTCAATTGAAAATTGCACTGTGTGGCAACGAATTATTTTTATAAGTGATCTCCTGGATCTTTTGGTTATTTCCCGACTCTCAACAAGAAACTACGACTCCAATTCCCTACGTCTCCAGATATTTCTTAACCATATAATCTTCTATTTGCGAAGTTCAACAAAACACAAGGATCGTCGTTCCAATGTAATTTCCTCCTCATGGCTGATAGCGAAGCATGAGAATGAAGCTTAAAATTGACTCAGGTATACAAAGGCGACATCTGGCTTGATATCAAATCTTATCCACGATATAAATTGTCTCTCTTTTTTTGATGGCTGTTTTGGACGACATAAAAGTGTTTCACGCTCCACTTATTTAGTGACATTCATTTTCGCAAGTTCTTCCTGGAGATGTGTTTTAATTCCCTAATTCACCCTGTTTAAGATAGTAGCTTCAGAACTTTTCCGATAGCAATGGTTTTGCCTAAAAGTAAATGAGAAAAGCAAAATAAATATCTACTTAAATAGCTAACTAAATAAATATTTATATAAATAAATAAGCAAATAAATAAGTCAATAAATAAAATAAACGGATCAAAAAGTATACACCACACTTGATGAGCCAATCAAAACTTTCTAACTGCACAATACCCTTCTAAAATTTGCTTCTCTCCCAATGCGTGGCCTCTTAGCTCAGTTGATAGCGGCGCCCAGCTAATATCTGGGAGGCACGGGTTTGCATCTCGTCGAAGCTTGAATTTTTTCCACGCCTCTTTTCTGCAATTTCTACAACTTATCTGCGAGGACCATTGCTTTACTTGATGCACAATACATTGTTGAACAGTAACAATTCCATATTAATGCCATATCGCCGTTACCTTCGTCTCTAAGTGTAAATCTTCCCATTTGTTGAAAGTCGGCAAATTTCTCGATGCACACAACTCCCGATGTTTGAAGTTGCGCTACAGCCACTTGGTCTTGTTTAATAAATCTCGGTCTTCCTTTCTGTCTTTTTCCTGTTTTTCTGTCAATTAATGCTATTAGAATCTACAAAAATAAGTTCACAACGAAAATAATCAGAAGAAAGAAATATCGTTGTTAAAAACACGTTCTTTACTGCAGTTTTGAGTGATTGTGCTGGCTACTCTGTACATTACAAGCTTTCTCTGAAAATAAAAAGGAATCAAAAAGCTTTTAAAGGTAATTTCTTCTTAGAGGAGCTGGTTAATATAGGAAGCAATTTTGGAGGCCTCAGTTATCAGCGAAAATCTTCGGAAAATCATTCTTGGCCAACAATAGAGAAATTTGTCTTTATGAAAATCCTCAATTTGATAAACAATTTGAAAATATGGAAACAGTAATTGTTTACAGTGACGGCAAACCAACAGAGCTTTCCAACTTGGTCAACATCAAAACAGATGGTAAGTCTTAAGATTAAATTCATCAGAATACACATAACCTACCTGGAAAGTAACTTCCTCTACGACATTGTGGATATGTAAAACAGCACTGTAACCAGCACAGATGATGGACTTGTGCTCAAGAATAACAACCTAATTATGAAGCAAACAAATGAATGGAAGGCAAAATGAAACTCCTCTCCAAAGAAAACCCTTGAAAACTCCACTTTCTCCCTCAAGCTTTCTTCATACCTAACCCTTATTATCAACGCATGAGACTGTCATTACTGGAAAACTTGACCTCTTGGTTTCGTTATGATAAAATCCAACATATGTACCATCCTTTCAAAAAATGCTTGCGAGGATTCTCTTAACCCCTTCTCCCCGACCCCCCACTGCCCAAAAAAAAAAAAAAGATTCAAAATCTGAACAAGGTGCAAAAGGAAAGAGGTTCTATAAGAGTTCAGTGCCTTGATCAAAAAATTTCAACACAAACTACCCCTACTAGGCCTGAAACCTGGTCTTGGAATTCACAATGAAGAGTAATAAAGACCCAAAATAACAATGACAAAAATACACTATACTAAACCTGAGCTTCAAATGTTTTAACAGTGTGGCATAAGTTGTCTGGTGAACAGAGAACAAATCCTGGTGAGACATCCTGTAACGCAAAAAAGCATCCAAGTCAACTGTGAGAAGTAACTGTAAGTAACTGAAGCTCGTGAATTTAAATCATTCCATTGAGAAAAAAAGACAGGACTCTTGAGGGACAGAGAATGCAGACAGGGTAATCACAGGGACTAGATAAGGAAAAACCTCATAGGGAACAGAAAAGTGTCTTGCGGTTGTGGCAAAAAACAATATGGTATTAACATTAAATTGCTAAGTTAGCAAAGGAAAAGAAACATGGTTCTTACAACAACCTCTATATTACAAACACCAAATTTAACCCTTTAACTCCCATGAATGACCAAGACAGAATTTCTCCTAACAGTATCAATACAATATCAACCAGATAAGTGATGAGAACAAAGAAAAATATCACTTTGGGGATAATTAGTTGAACCAGTACTAAATTCTCTCAACTAACATTATAAGAATTGAATGGTTGACTGTACGGAGAATTTCAAATTTGATCTGGGAGTTAAAGGGTTAAGCTGTAGGAAATAAGCAAACATTTTTTGGCTCCTTTAATTAGTCATAATCAGAACAATTATAGAAATTTATGTTTAAAGTTATTTTCCCCAAACCATGAATGTCCTCTGCCGAGTGTGTAAATATATTCATATCATTGTTATGGCAAACTCTGTCGCAGTTTTTTAACAGGTCTAGTAAGAAGTTGCTCTATCATGGCAAAATATTATAAGTTTACCTCTTCTTCTACTCCTCTTAGCTTAAGTTTAACATTATCACCAGCCACTGCTGCACCTCTTTCTTCTTCATCAAATATGATTCCTAACACCTCTACAGAGACCTGTATGAAATGAGTTGTGCGGTTAACTTTATAATCAGAAGACTGCATACAATTCCCTTGGAGTGTGCTTAAAAATAAACCACTAGCAATCCTACCAATTAAATTTTCTTCTTCCATTTATTCAAATACCATAGCTAAAAGAAAAACAA